CGGTTACCCGCCAAAGCAGGGAATCCCCTCCCCTATGGGTAAAATTTCCATCTCTATCCATAACCCGTCAATCAATGAACCAAAGAGGTACATAATAACCATAAATAGGGGGAGAGGAAGGAAACCTCTGTTGCAAGCGTGCTGACAGTTGTATCCTTCACATCCCTCAGCAAGTGCTCCACTCCTGTAGAAAGAGAATTGCAATATTGCATACATCAAGCAACCAAATGTATGAGGAAAATATGCATCTCAGCATCTCATCCGCTCTTTGGATCAGTAGCAAAGGAGACGGATGCACCAAGTAAAAGAATTCTATTGAGCTTACCAATTTCTTCCACTTCGTGAGCAGCAATTTCTGAGGGTACATGAACAAAAACCTTCTGGCTTTTCTGAGTAGCATTCTGTAAGAGAAGCTAGTAATCGTTTAGTTTCATGTCCAGCCATAGCTTGTGTAACTAAGCAAATCAATCTTTGATAATGGTTCTTTTTCATATGGAGGCAGTCAATAGGTTAATTCTTAATCAAATAGAAATGAAACTGAAGAGCTACAAAAAAAGGACTTCAAATTGATCGTACCTCTTTGACCTCTTCAATAGCATAGTAAGCTTTGGTGGGAATTCCCAATTCCTTTGGCTGGACATCTATTATCACCAATACAGGATTTGGAACGTAGCTGCGGTAACAAGATTCCTCAGTCAAAAAAAAACATATGGTTACAGAATCACAGGGAAATAAACAATCCATATGGAACTCAGATATCATGAACTAGAGACTACCCACATAATTTCACAGTGCAGTACATATGAAACCACCAAAGAAAATTAAATTAGGAACAAGAAGCTGATACACATATATACACACACACAATTGTATGTATATAAGTATGTATATGTACATGTACTATGTATGTACGTATTTTCATGTATTTGCGTCTAAAAAGATAGAAACAAGGAAAAATTCGTTTTAGGAAACTAAACCAATCGGTAAAAAGAATGAGCATGAGGCACATCATTAATGCAAGTTGTGTACATACGAGCATATCCAAAGATAAAAAAGAAATATGACAAAAACAAAATACAGCATTTGTGCAATCATGCCTCCAAGCAGAAAGGAAACAATAAAATTCAGGATAAGATCCCAATGCTTACTCATTAAATAAGCCGTGAATGTCAAGATCATTCTCCCTTAGCTTGGGGCCGGTGCTATACCATCCTACCACATGCTCCTTAGCTGCAACAAACTTTAAATTGTTAGGATTGTTTTGGAACAGAGATACATTCTTGCAGAGGTAGTAAAGCAAGAAGCACTATCACTATTCTTTTTAATAAAACTGAAGATTACCATTGATTCTCTTGAACATGGAGAACATGGCCTCATGATAGTTGTGATCAAGAAACCAAATGCTGGGATCCTTGTCGTCTTCCTCAAAAGGCACTACAAAAGAGTACTAGTCAACTTAGAACAATGTCTGTTTGAACTGGTTTAGTTGTGTAGTTTTTTCTTTTGCTTTTCTTGAATGGAAAATTGGATACCATCACATACATGTCCCAAAGAAGCTTGAACCCCAACCTAAAGGTTGGGGAGATGGAATTGACACCTTTTGTAATTGGGCCAAAAGCCTCTTGGTGGTTTAGTTGTATAGCTGATTAGGGATTAAATACAGTTGACAACTTGTTCATTGTTTTCAAGAGATCTAAATGTTTATTACTTGTGTTTTGCTTGAGGATACAAAAAGATATTCAGTGCTGTTTTACAAAAAAATAATAACTCCTTTGAGATTCAACTGTGCTATCTATGCTTGCAGAATCTTCAAGCAGACAAGTGAATCATACTATTAAACATTCTCCATAGAGCGGTTAGTTCAAAAAATGAAAACAATATCATTGTTTTATTAATAGATATAATAATAATATATAATAGTGGTCCTTTTGTCTAACCTGCGACTTCTTTATGGGTATGAAGCTTAATGCATGTGTCCAGATATTATTCTTTCATCACTAGAACTGAACTTGATTTCTTCTTATATATAAGGGTGTGTTTGGTAGGCAGATGGAACGGCATAGAACTGGACGGGCGAGAGTGAGGTAGGCGGGTGAAAGAATTGTGCAAGGTTTTAGAGTTTTAATTTGACATGGGAGGTTTAGTAATTTACCCATCTTGTCCCATCTCCCTGATTTTCGTTCCACCTATTTGGGTGGGTAGTCCTGACCTGTCACAGCCTTAATGTCGCTCCAAAAGTGGGACAACAAGTTTTTAACCTGTCCTGTCCTACTCTGTCATGTCCCACATACCAACCACACCATAAGGGTATAAAATAAAATCTAGACACCAGGCTGAAGTTAACACAACAGTTAGCCAAATAGTATATCTACCATGCTAATAGATATGCTGAGCGAAGGCGAATTTAGCTCCGCATATGCCTCTTTGTTAAGATCATCACACGAGATACTACTAGCATGTAGATGACAGAAAGTGTACATTAACCCTAAATATAAACATATACAGGTATAGTAAAATGCTCATAAAATGAATAATGCAACGGCTTAATGGCTAGCTTAACCTTATTATATAGTACCCCTGTATGTGCAATTAACGTGTGACCTTAAGAATGGAAGATGCAACTCAATACTAAAAATATAATCTTCTGAATATAGGTTTGGTTTTATCTAGGTTGAACCACCTAGTCCATGCCTAAGTTGTGAATGACATGGTAATTCCATAATTCTATATATTGATAATATCAAATGAGCAAGAAACTCATAAAATTTGAGCCACATGAAACACAGTCTCTACCCAAATGTAGTTTATAAGGTTTCCTATTACTACAATTTTGTTTTGCCTTACATGGTACAGGAGATACGTAATGTGAATCAAGTCATTGCAAGTTCCATTTACTTAATGAAAAAATAATTTGCATGGAGGGCATGAATACGAAAGCAAATGAGAAAATGGATAGCATCTTACTTTCGTGGCCAAATACTACGTTAAACACCAATTACAATTATAAAGCATATCATATCTTAAACCGTATTAGGTTCCATCATCAACAGGTTCTTTCATTCACTTTCTAATATGTTTCTTACATAGGTTTGTTCCATGAGAAGAAGGCAACATGGAAACCCGGCCAGTTTCTTATGTATATCACTCCATCCTCGCAGTACATACCATACTTCTCGAATATAATAAGGATTAAATTGAGTTACATGAGCTCTTGCTACACCATTCGAATTGATTAATCCTCTGAAGTTTGAATCCAGCTCATAACATCTCATTACAGTTCAGTACTTCAATAAGAAAAGAACTAAGCAATAGACTTCTTATTTTCTAAAACTTCCACAATAAATAATCATAACGAGAAACAGAAAAGGATGCCCATTGTTGATAATCGTGTCGTTTATTCCAATCACTTCACCAGATCCGTTCCAACTTATCATATCCTCCCAAGAATCCAGTCTTAAGTTTTTATAATTATCTATCACCACTAACTACTTACGATACATAAACCCTATGCAGGTCTATATCAAGAAGAAGAAAAAGCAACCCCATTATCTAAAATTTAAATAAAAAACAATCAGGCAGATGTTTAGGCAATAAACGAAAGGATCAAAGAAAACCTGCGTAGCTGTTTGTGACGTCGACGGTGCCTTTGAAAGAACTACCAAGGAGAACACCAACGACACGTTTGCGAGTGTCTTTGGCGACTCTATAGTAGTTATCAACGATGCTAAGGAGTACCAAGGGGTGAACGACTACCTTCTCGATCGGCCGTGCTGATAACTGCTGCGATTTTATCACATCCATTATTCGGAATCTTGAGATGAAAATCCTTTCGCTATGATTTGGTGATTTATCTTCAGCAAAATTGAATTGGGAATTTGAAAATTTGAGAAGGGGTTTCGTGCAAAAACCCTTTTCTGTCTTTCGATCTCGCTTTCTACTCAAGAAAGGAATCAGTGGTTCGGTTTTTAGGTTCGAGCCCGGATCAACAACTACAAGTATATACGAAGCGAAGCTATAGAAGCCGTTAGAATGTAAACGACTCGAGTCGGCTCAAAAAATTAATACTAGGCTCGCGTTTGATTGAGCTCGATTAACTTTTCAGTGTAAGGCTCGAGCTTGAGCTCGAGCTTGAATCTTTTTTGAGTTATTGAGCTCGATGCTCGTTTACGGGTTCGACTCGCGATCGATTAACTCGTTTATCGACTTTGAACTCGATTATTTATTATATCTTTATTGAATCATTGATAAATGTATGAGCATTTTTGGCTCGAAAAGGGTATGCTTTAATGGCTCGGTTTGGCTCGACTTGAATAATTGAATCGATTTTTCGAACGAGGCGAGTCGAATATTTGTGTTATAAAGCTCTGCTCGTTAAGTTAAACAAGTTCTATTTTGTATTCGAGATCGACTCGAACTCAAGAATCATTAAGTCCAAGCTCGAATCGTTTACACCCATAGATACAATTAGATTATCAATCGAAGTACTTTTTCTTTACTAAAAATAATTAAATTAAATGTCGATAAATTAACAATGTTTGTATAAAATATATAGGAAGTGTATGTTTGTTAGTAGTTTAATAGAAGGCTCACAGTTTATTCAGTTAATTATATATGACCGTAGTGTTTGGTAGTAACTTAATGATATAGAAAATGGTCTGTTCGGTAAATTTTTAAGGAGTTTTATGCAAAAAGTCAATATTTTTCTAAACTTGTCCTAATTAAAAAAATATGTTTCTTCCATTTACGAAAAACAAAACCTCCAAACAAAGATCTCCTAAATCTATATGGACAAATTAATTTACACAGACAATTTTATCCATACATGACTTAATAAAAAACTAAGGTTTAATTGAATTTAGAGGGATTTGAAATTAAATTTCATTTAAATCTATAATTTAGTTTGAAGAATTCATGTGTTTTAAATCTCGAGATTCATTGAAGTCTCATAAACATAGAATTTCGAAATCTGATCAAGGTGATTGATATTTCATGAGATTTCATAGAATTTATTTGTAATAATATTTCAAAATATACCAGAAATTTTATTTTATGATAATTAATTAATAAAAAAGTAATTTAATTATTTTTTCAATTATTTATATAAATTTTCTATTTAGAAAGAAATTTAATCCTAATTCGATTCTATTCCATATTCTACAAACCAATCATAAGTCATAACGACCCAGCGAGATACATCTCGATTTTAGTGTTTCGTTTTGTTTTTTGTCTCTATTAATATAATACGATTTTATGTCGTTTTGACAAATCAAAAAAAAATTATTATTTCTGAATGAAATATAAACTTGAAAATATTATAAAAATTAGAAAAAACTATATTGATGTTAGTATCAAAYTAACTATTTAAAAGTTCTTATTTTTTGTGTAATTTATTTAATTCAAATTTTTATTATAATTTGATTTAGGTTTAATAAATAAATAATTTATTGTTAGTTTAATAATATATTTTTTTATAAATATAATAATTAAATATTCAATTAAAACTCAATGGTTATCTTAGGGGGTGTTTGGGTAAGCTTTTCAAACTGACTTATTAACTTATTTCAGTTCGGTACCGGAGAWAAGTCATTTTGGAGTGTTTGGGTAAAAAAAAAAAAATTGCTTATACCGGTACCAAACCGGTAATAAGTCGTTTTTGATAAGTCAATCCTCCCTGACTTATCAAAATCAACTTATTAACAATTTACCATTTTAACCCTTACCTTCCTCTCAAGCGACCGACTGTGAAATCGAACCAGAGAAACCAGAGAAATCGAACCAGAGAACTTTTTTTTGATAATTTGTGAAATCGAACCAGAGAAACCAGAGAAATCGAGGTCTGTCCATCTCACCAAAGCCTCTGTGAAGCCTGTGAAATCGAATCGAATGTCATCTTGGAGACGGATGTCGTCTTGGAGACGGAAATCGGTGCCAAGAAACTCGCCGATGCAGAGGTTCTCGGGGAGAAACCACTCACAGGAGATCGCGATGATAGGAATCTGGAGAAAATAGGGTTGGAGTGATGAGGATGGAGAGGAATCTGGAGAAAATAGGGTTGGAGTGAATCTGGAGAAAATAGGGTTTGGAGTGAGGATGGAGACGATGAACAGGAGGTTGATTGGAGGACCTTTTGGTAATTTTACATCTATAAGCCAAATTTGCCAAACACTAAAAACCAACTTATCAACTTATAGCTTTTTGGTACCTTTATAAGCTAATCCAAACACTTTTTACAAAACTCCAGTTTGATACCACATAAGTTAATAAGCACTTTTACAAAAAAACATAAGTTGTTTTAAATAAGCAATCCCAAACACCCCCTTAATTACATTTGATAATGTTTATATCTATATTATATTATAAAACATTCGACAAAAACTCTTAAAAACCATTTTTTATGCATGAAGTACTGTATATTGATGCATATTACTTAAAATTCAAGATTACAAGTAAATTATACATAAGTATAACTTATTAAAGCTCCATGTTTGAATTCGTATAACTAACTGCGGATAAAMATAATCAAATAGAGGATAAACATCTCATTTTAAAATATAAAAAATCTAAAATATAATTAGGATAATTATCGAGTTTTAACAAAATAATTAGTTATTATCTTCATAAGAAAATTATATTACTAAACCAAATATAAATTATTTCGTTTTGAACCTAAATTAAATTATAAAAAATTTGAATTAAAAAATTACACAAATAATAAGAATTTTAAATAGTTAATTTGATATTATTATCGATATATTTTTGTCAAAATTTTATGATATCTTCAAGTTTATATTTTATTCAAAAATAAAAAATCATCGCTTTTTCAAAATCATATAAGATCATGCTATAACATCGACTGAGATAAAAAATAAAATAAAATATTAAAATCAAGATGTATCTCGCTGCATTGCGCGAGTACCCTTCTAGTTCAAAATAAGATGTTTATTTAGTGTTTGATTATTTTTATTTGCAGTTAGTTACATGAATTCAAAAATAAAGTTTTTGACAAGTTATACTTATGTACAATTAGGGTGCGTTTGGTACACTGGACAGGGACAGGACAGAACATGACAGGGATCCATGTCTCATATTTGGCATGAATTTTATGTGGAACAGACAGGAACAAAGTGGAACATGGTGGAACAAGGTGGAACAGACTTATATTTTACCAATATAACCTCAAAATAAAACTTAATTATTTTCTAAAACATCAAATAGGTCTCTCTTTTACATTTTATTTATTCTTTAAATTTTATTTATTGTATTTTATGTTTCTTAAACTTTCATTTTACTGTTCTCAAAATATTATTTTTATATGGTTTCTATATTTTTATTAATTTATGTAATTCATTATATATTAATAATAATAAAAAATGCAGAAAAGAGATAAAAATAAAAATAAAAAACCACATAAACTTTTTATTTGGTATCATTTTAATTGTTTTGACGAAAACTTCAAATGATATATTTTGTTATAAAAAATAATTATTCTATTATAATTACATAAATTGTTTTCTTGATTTTATCATCGTCAAACGTATTGTGTAAGGTTCACGCATGCAATTTGTTGTTTTCGATGAGTTTTGTATGTTTTCCCTTGATCAGAGTAGTAAATATTCGATTTTGATCTTACAGGAGTGATTGTACAGGTGATAGGTGAATTTTTTTGTTTTATGGAATCCAAGTTTTGTGAATGTGATGATACTATATGGGATCACTAGCCAAATTGTTTTCTTGATACTTATATTTTATTTACTATTTGATATTTAATCTATTTCAATTGATTGTGCGCTTGTTGGTAGTAGTTTTTTCTTCTTAGCATGGAATACATATAAATTTGCTTCGATAATGGATTCTTGATGCTTATATTATATTTACCTTTTTCATATATCATTAGTTGATTATGAAATTATGTATTTTTGCAAATATATTTTTGCAAGTAATATTGGTTTGATGTAAGTTATACTTTGCACACCGTATTTGTTAACATTTCTATTGATTATTTAGTTAAAAAAACACTAAACAACTCACTGAGGGTAAAGTGGTCATTTTAACCACTTTTGTCCAGTCATGTGATGTCTTACCAAATGTTGAACAACTGTCATATTCTGTCATGTTTCTTCCTGTTTTGTCTGCATACCAAACGCACCCTTACTTGTAATCTTAAATTTTAAATAATATGCATCAATAAATAACAATTTATGCAAGAAAATGGTTTTTAATTTTTTTTTTGTCAAATATATATTATATTATAAAACATTTGACAAAAACTCTTAAAAACTATTTTTTTTATGCATGAAGTACCGTATATTGATGCATATTACTTAAAATTCAAGATTACAAGTAAATTATACACAAATATAACTTATTAAAGCTCCATATTTGAATTCGTGTAACTAACTACGGATAAACATAATCAAATAAAGGATAAGCATCTCATTTTAAAATATAATTAGGATAATTATCAAATTCTAACAAAATAATTAATTATTATCGTTATAAGAAAATTAGATTATTAAACCAGATATAAATTACTTCATTATTGAAACTAAATTAAATTATAATAAAAAAATTGAATTAAAAATTACACAAAACATGAGGATTTTAAATAGTTAATTTGATACTAATATCGATATATTTTTGTCAAATTTTTATGATATCTTCAAATTTATATTTCATTAAAAAGTAAAAACATCGTCGCTTTTTCAAAATCACATTAGACCATATTATAACATCGACTGAAATAAAGAATAATATAAAATATTAAAATCAAGATGTATCTCGCTGCATTACGTGAGTACTCTTCTAGTGTTTTATAATACAGTATAGATATACCTGTACCAATCAACGATAAAAACTTAACCAACTATTTTATAAGATAGTATAAATTAAATAGTTTTATATAATACAAGAAAGAAAAATGCAATATGGTTGTTAGATTGATATTTTAATCTCCAAACGAAGAATATCTTTTAATTATATTTATCAATTTTGATTTTGCAAAACATTTTTGAAAGGAGAGACAGTTGTACTGATCAGTGTCGATTTCGTTCGCCCTGATCCAAACTTCTATATGAGTCGGGCTTTAATCGGTCCTAAAAGTAGCGTTTGGTACACTTGGACCGGAGTAAGAGAGCAGGATTGGATAGGACGAGACTTATGTATCGGACAAAACTAGACAAGTTGGCTCCAAAAATTATTTGATGATTTTATATATTATATAATGGTTAAAGTTAACACAAATGAAGTAAATAATTTAATTTATAAATATTTTTACGTAAAAGTTATTTGATGACATTGGTGGACGATGGTGAATGTGAGGACGAGAAGACGGTGAATAGTGGTAGTGGTGGCGACAGTGGTGGAGGAGGTAGTTGTTGCCAATGTGGTGGAAATGGTAGAGGCAGAGGTGGCGGTGGCGATCGGTGGCCGATGGTGGTTGTGAAAGACGTAAAGATGGTGGAGAGTGGTGGCGATGGCAATTGACAATGGTGGAGGAGGTGTTGTAGTGGAAGAGAAGGTGGCTGATGGTGGTGGAAGAGGTTGTTGTATACCGCGTTACGAATTTTTCAGCCATCTCTACTTGTAGATTTGGCATCAAAAGTCAAAACCACCACCTCTCTCCTTGAGGAATCTTCATTTTGAAGCTAACCCTCTTGTTTTCTTCCTAATGAAACTGATATTAGTCGAGACCGAGATGGAAATCACCGAAACCAATCATATAATTTAAAAAGCGTTTTTGTAACAAAGAAAAATCCCGTTGAGACTAACGAAAAAAAAAAAAAGTAAAAATCAGCCACCTATGACACTATATCACGCTGAGCACACCCAAATCAAACGTTGGCGGTCACGCCAAGATACGATCGCCTTGATGCTACTAATAAACTAAAGATTCATTATGCTCATGAGCATTATAAAGGTCGGGTAGATCAGCACTGGTCGAGAACTTGATCCATCTTTTCTTCTCGACGTGCTTTAGAAACGGATGCAACACTAGCCCAATAACTATAGCAATAACGCTAACGATCATCACCTTAAGCGAAGAAAGAGCCAACACGACACAGATCAAGATTGTTGGAGGAACACACAAAAGAACCGATCCAACTGTGCCCACCGGTATCTTGTACGGCCTAGATGCAGCTGGATACTTCATTCTTAACCTTACAAAAGCTATGAACTCCAAAATCATCCCGAAACAGTACAAGAAGTTTTCTGCCGCCACGATTTCTTGAAAACTTAGCCACGAAAGCAAGATCACACCAGAAGCCGAGAACAAGATCCCGATTGAYGGAGTWCCATAACGRGAYCTYTTKGCGAAAAACTCMGGAAGCATRCCYCTTTCCGCCATWCCAAGAAGYTGAAAMGAGTCGCTACTCATTTCWGTRACRAACATTCCCATGTTYGACATGGCWGCRCCCGCCTGGATCCACCATCTCAACCATACACCGCCCACGATTTTAGCCACATCCGAGAAATACCCATCGGTCCATAGATCACGATGGAGGGGTACAGCACCAGTGCCCATGAGAAGAGGGAAAAAGTAGCCAAAAACAACTAGGATCAAGGCATATAACAAGGCTTTTGGGAGAGTTTTCTTTGGATTATCGACCTCCCCGGCAAGTGTACTTATTGAGTCCCAATAATTAAGGTTCCAAAAGAGTGTGTTTAAGTATAAGTTCCAATCAACCACATGTAAATCCACCACTAACCATCTTGCAGGCTCTATCCTAGGAATTGAAATAAGACCCATGATTACAAAAGGAACCAAAGAAAACACCCCTAATAGAACAGCAACCCACCCTACAATTGTCAAGCCTCTAAAGTTCATGTATGTGAGGGCAATAGTCAAGGCTAATACTGCTAAAACTCGCGGATAACCATCGGCTAATGCTGGAATTCCTGATTTCAAATAATCAAGAAACAAAACTGGATACAGGGCATTGTCTATAACCCCACTAAGCCATTTCATCCAGCCTTGTTGAAACCCCCAATAAGGTCCTAAAGCAGATGACACCCAAACAACATAACCACCATCTTCAGGGAACATTGTACCCATTTCAGCAGTTATTAGAGCTTCAGGTACACTCCAAATAAATGGGAACACCAAGAACCCTATAAGGGCTAAAAGAGGTCCAGCAGCCTGAACACTATCCTCAACACCAAAAGGTCCTCCAGAAACCTCATAGAAAATGAGAAAAATGAGGGGTATAATTGAGACTCTTTTCATCTTGTTATTAGAGACAGCTGTAGGAGAAGGAGCTTCATTAATCCCAACATATTCAACATCATTATGTTGTCCCATTGCAGTAGCTGTGTTCTTCAATTTCTACATAAAGTAACAAAAATCATACAAATCAATTGACAGATTCCTAGCATATAATATAAACAGAAACAAGAAAGTCAATGGCTGTGTTCATTTCTGAAGCCCTTTAAACCCATAAGTTTTGAAATAGAAAAATCGTTATCAAGTCTCTTCAAGCCTTTAAATCAAGATTCCAAGAAAAGTTAGGAAATTCACATCAATGTTAAATTCAAAAAAATACACTATTTTCCAAGAAAATAGAGCAATCAATTTAACAAAATAAACATGGGTATGTTCCTGAAGCAACCAAAATGCAAATCAAGATTAAGAGATTTGGACGAACTAAAGCTACCGACATCCCCAGATTGATTAATCAAACATTAAAGAAGTATTACCAATATAAACAGTTGCAGTTTTTGAATCAGTTGTAGCAACAACAAGAGTGTAGAGAGGATTTATTTACGAACCACGAGATACTGGAGATTCTCTTCATGGTTTTGGAGGTAGGTTGATCGGAGTAATTTTGCGAGTGAGAAGGGGAAAAGGGAAAGGGCATTAAGTGCGTGTCGAATAAAGAGAGCACGTGGCCATGAAGTTAAAATAAATAATTACAAAGTGCGATTAAAACAAAATTAATGGGTTGTTATTGAAAAAGTTTAAGGGACGGTAGATAAAAAAATCACGAGGTCCTACAAGTAACCAGTTGCGTAAATTTGATAACAAAAAACTAATAATATATATATATATAAGTTATAAATTGTGTTCTTACCATTAAATCGTAATTCGTAAACCTTGAATGGATTGGTTTCTTGTAAAAGCTAAAATAAATAAAACTACAGGGTCCAAAGCAGACAATAATCAGAAGTTGTAACCTCAACCCAATCTATTTCCCTTTCTTCTTGACCCAATCGCACAGAGCACCTTGAACGTGCTTTTCTTGCTATTTTTGTGTCATTTTCTGATCTTTTTCATAGGGCTATTTATATTAAATCATTGATAAACTTCATTCTAACATTTTGGTATCAAAATCATTAAGAAATGAACTCGAATTATCATTCTATATCAGAGTTGCGATCTCTGTATTGACTTACTTGATGAAATTACACAGAAAGATGCAGGTATATACAAGCGAAGCTAAGCTAAGAAAACCGATTAACGACTCTCGAACAGACTAATTAACAACTCTAACCATAAAGGCTAAAGACTAATTTACCCTTGATCTAATATTCTAAGAACTAGGGTTTTGTGGTTAACCACACAAACTTCGAAATTAATCACCCTAAAGCTACTATGTAACAGATTCGAGTATGCCATTATGTTATTAATTTTTAACCGAACGCAATCTTCAAAGAATGGTTTGAGGATCATACCTCAAACGAAGCTTTAAACCATGTTCACAAGTTCTCCCTTTCCTCGTGAATCTCTCTTTGATTTTCCTCCATTCCTACCGAATTTGCTAGTTTCAATCGTACTAGTGAAGACAACATTTATGTGGAGGAATTTGAGAGAGCTTTATGTAGCCACGTATCCCTCATGAGCAACACGTGTGTAAAATTGTTCCAGTTTCTTTTTTAATTTACAAACAGGGTCCCCAGACTTTGGGATATGACACACTAACTTAAATCTAAGTTTCTGACCCAAAATTTTTTTTATTCCAGGTGAGTCTAAAAAAAGTCAATAAATTTTAGTCTTTACAATAATTAAATTTTTATATAATTTTTTGGAAAAAATAAAGTTTTTAAATATTTTAAAATATGTTAAATAATTTCTTAGATTTTCTAAAACCTATCATATACATTCTTATTATTTATAAAACTGGTTAATGTAATAAAATAATGAAAAAAAAAAACTAAAAAAACTCATTATACTTTCATATTTTGAACGACTAAATTCGTAAATATTTTTTGAACCAAAAAAGTATTTACATTTATAATATGAAAATAAATATACCAAAAAAATACTTACATATAAAAAAAAAAACATTTTATTTTATATGAGTCTAAATGAACTTTAAGTCCGTGTCGTTTCCAAATCATTCCAGAGAACGCCATGAACACATATGCATAAAAGGATGTATCAATACAAACAAAAATACCTATTAGTAAGTTTCTGAAAATATCCCTCTCCTCTTACTTTAACATTTTAATTTTGGGGTTTTCTAACCCCACCCCCTCCTACACTCTTCTCCCTATATTTTCTATACCTCCTCCTATATATTATTTTTCAGTTTTAACCTTTTGATATTTTCAGTTTTGACTCTTCAACTTTTATAATATTTTGTTATTATATTTTTTATGTTTTTAATTTTTAATATAGATTATAATTATATAAATTAATTAACTTTATATTATTATTAATTAATAAAGTATTAATATTCTTTT